ATTATTATTAAATATTTTTCTTTTTTATTAAATATCATTAAATATTTACGGATTATTGGAGATACAATCATGATATTTTAGATATATAAGTTTTATTAGAATTGTAATAGAAGATTTCCTTGCAAAAAATTCGTATCTCGATAACTATCTTACGATAATAAAGTGTCCCTCCTTGCTCTTATCAGGAGTTAATAACATTTTCAGATATCGAGTTTTTTTACGTTTGACGTTAATGCGGAGTTCATAGTTGATGTGATACCAGCACTTATACCTACGTTAGGTAGCTTGAGCCACATGTACGCACGTGTCAGAAATATAGATAAAGTAAGCTCGGTCGATCATTATTTATATTCTTAATAAACTTTATGCAAATTCATCTCAATGTGTTTAGACTCTAAAGAATTAACATAAAAAAAATCAATTTTACTAATTTTATATATCTCGTACGTGTACTCAAAACAACAATTAGTTTAATAAGTTATCTAACAAAATTACTCCTAATTAATTAATATCATTATTTTTATCGCAGTGGACGCTCAGATAATTATAAATAATGTTTATAAACAATAAAATTATTTGCAATAAAATAATAAATATTTGAAATAAAAATAAATGACTAGTAAATTTTTTTAGAATTTATGCGATTAACATAATTATATTATAAAACACACTGATTGACAGTCCAATAAATGAGATGAATTATTTTCATTTTCTTCTTTCTTATTATTTTGAGAGACACGATTGTTTGTAATTCATTATCTTATTTATTTTTAGCTAAGGATTCTTTTGGAACGTATGTGGAACGATTGGAGCTTGCAAAAGACAAATTATGAAATCAAAATCATGCACGAGCATGCCGAGACCACGAGATTAGTAACGGTTTGTTATTCGTGTAAGAAAAATATTAAATTTCGCTTTATCTACGAAGGGGCAAGATGTGCCTTTCTGTCTATAAGATCAACATTGTATTTCTGTGTGTGAGACAATCGTGCTTTTTCTTCATTATCAGCATCGGACGCACTATTCATCATATATATATATATATATATATATATATACGTATGCTATTTATTTTACTAACAA